CCAGCTGTCAGTACTTTTGTTAAAATACTCCTCCCACAGATCCAGTGGACAACCTGGATAAAATTTAACATTTTCACACTCTTCCCAGCAAGATGACTGCTTGATTAAAGTTACTTTTTTAAAAAAATGCTCCCCTCTCAGACTTTTTTGACCTGCGTCATTTCACGTGTTGCTTTCGTAATAGTCAACAGCCAAGGAAAAATCAAACTCCTTGAGAGCCGGTCCATTGAGGGCAATCTTCATGACGCTGAACAAGCCTTGGTCTTCCTTTCTGTAACTCCACCGGCACTGCCTCAGGAGCTCCCTCGCCCGGTTGATTTTCTCTCTGAGCACAGAGCCGAAAGGCATGACGAGAGCGACTGTAGCCAGGATGGCAAAGTCTGGGAAAAACTGGTGCATCTCAGAATTCTCATAGACCAGCTTAGCGCATAGATCCTTGTAGGAGAGCTGGCGGAGGCTGAACACTAGCCGCTTGAAGAGGGGGAAGTCGTCTAGCGCCCGCTCACTTACCACCACACTGGAGTACGCCTGCAAAAGGAAGTTCAACTCATCTATACCATAGCTTCCAACCTCTTCTAAAGACTGGGGATAGCACTTGGGGTTAAAGATGGCAGACAAAGAACTGACCACTTCCAAAGACCGGCTAGGGAATCTATCCTGCAGGTGGCACCGGATACCCTCCAGGTACGTCTTCTTGAAATGCTCAAACTTCTTCACATGCATCTTGGAACAGTCAGACAGTTCCACCCCTCTGTAGAAGAACCTACTCTCGGCACCTTTACAGTCCTCACAAGGATGCTCAATGAGGTCATTAAGGAACACCTGGAAGTTCTGGCCGTTGACGTTCTTCTGGAGTTGGAGGTTGGCGATGGTGGCAGAGACGATGGGTTTCAAGATGGAAAGATCAGTATCTTCCAAGAGGAAGAATCTATTTAGTGTCTGGAAGACGGGCAGAGTGTCCAGAAGTACTTTAGTGAAGGCTACAAAGTAGAATTTCTTGAGTTCTTCACAGACGTCCAGCGCCATTGGGGATCTCTCTGACTCGCTCTCCAGATGAGATAACAAGGTTGGCCAGGAAGAATCGACAGCCTCCAGAGCTGGTAAGATGGAGCTCCAGTGGATCGCCTTGGGCCTTTCTGTGTCCATTTCACAGAACTGAAAGACATTTTGCAACTCTCGGAGGCGACTGTTCCCTGCCGCGAAGTTGACAGAGAGCCTGCAGAGGGCATCCATCACGGCCTCATACTTCTCTACACAGTCTGCTTCGAAAATGTCCTTTGCTGCTCGCAGAGGACTACTCCAGTGGTGAGAAAGGCAGTGAACCTCAGTGAGCAGGGGGCAGATGGCTTTCACCTTAGCCCATATACCACTGGGCCTGTGGGTCAGCGGGGAGGACCCCACAGAATTCAGCCATGCAACCTTCTTGGTTGGTAGTCCAAAGGAGAGCATTGCCTTGATGGTTTTGTCCGCCACTGTGCAACCCTCGCTGTCTGGAAGTGGGATGGTGCCGAGGAACGTGATGGATGTCTGACCCGCATGAAGGGAGACGGCCGTGCTAAACAGGACTAGCCTCCTTCTCTCCAGGGCATCTACAGTCTCATCCACCACGAGGCCAATGAAGGGTGAGGACTTCATCCTGAGCTTGTCCTCAGCGTCTAGGACTTTGGCAATGGCTGCCTGGTGTTGGTGAGCAAGAAATGGCATGGGGGGGGAGGGGGGAAACAAACAAAAAGGATATTTAAAGTGTCCTTTCGAACCCAGGTTCTTCAAACGGGAAGGGGGGACACCCTAAAGACCCCCGAGAAAAGGATCAATCCCTTCTTTTATACAGCAGGTCTGCCCGTAGCTACCTTTTTCAGCATGCAGGTTGCGTGGGCTGGATCGAGGTTTCTGACACAGAAACTGCGGGGGCAGTTTTTGCCCAGCGTGGGTCTCTACGAGCTATTTACTTCTTCCCCATGCATGAAGCAAATGATCCTCCCAGAGTTCTGTACCAGGAAACACATATGCTCGTGCTGCAGAGAACAATTTCCCCTAATTTTGTCTTTACTTCCCCCCCCCCGCAAAAAAAACCCCAAGTGTGCAGCATAAACAAAATGTATGAAAATATATTCATTCTTGCCAAACGTTGGGAGGTTTTAGTGCCAGAATCAGGACTGTTTCATCGATACCCTTTGAGCTTCTTTGCCCTGGTCAAGATCACGGAAATAGCCCCCAGACTGCAGGTACTGGGTGGTGGAGGGGTAGATCCTACTCTGCCTTGCCACTCCACTGAGCAAAATTTATTTATTAAAATCTTTATACCCCACATTTCCTTTTGGCTCAGGTTTGCACCCTGCCTCCAAATTAAGTGGCTCTTCCACTAGAGGAGGAGCTACATAAGCTGGAAGAGGGACTCCTGAGCCCAAGGTAGGTTACTTAGGCGGATCATAGGATCCGCCCCTTTCTGACCTCACAAGGGGCTTTTCTGCATGGTCTACATCTCTTCCCGACTGTCATGACTCGCTTTCACAAGGGGCTTTTCTGCATGGTCTCCCCCCCCCCCGTTTGTTCTGGCCTCTCACTGCTTCAATTTATCCCAGTTCCCATGTGCTTTTTTTTGCTTTTATTTTCCAGATTTTTTGCCCCCCCCCCCCTTGGTTCTTTTGAGACCACTTCTACCCCCATGTCTTTCTGGAAGCCAACTCTGAGTCAGCTTTTTCCTCATGCACAATGCTTCTGTCCATTTTCTTTGTCCTGCCCACTCTCCCCCACCTCCAACCCACTGTTCGATGATTGGGGTGTTGTGGTCAAACCACTCCCCCCCCCCGAAGACAAGTGATTTCTTCTTCTTTTTTTAAGGCACTAGAATATCGATATATTGTTGGAGCATTGTAACAATAGCCCTAGCAGGTTCTCTGAATTCCCAGCTTTCATTTTAAATAGTAAGTCTCTAGTTCCTTCCCTTGTAGGATAATATCTCTAACAAGAGAAGGAACTAGAGACTTACTTTTTAAAATGAAAGCTGGGGATTCAGCTAAGCCTGCTGCTATAACACTCCAGTAATATATCAATATTTTAGTGCCCTTTTAAAAGGGGGGGTGCTGTGATACACCACACATAACACCACTCATGATGACAGCACCTCCTCTTAAAAATCCTCATTATTTAAGGCACGTGCAGAAGAAAATAAACTGAATCCACAACTGTGAAAATGCAGAGGGAGGGAAGATGTGCAGAAGAACTGTGCCCAAGCCGACTTCAGGAGTAAGTGGAGCGTGTGGAAAAGCCCCAGGTCAGAATATCCAGGCACACCACGGACTCGCTTTGAGAAGGCATTCCTGCCTTGTGCATCTGGCCACAAAACCAAAGCTGGACTTCTCCTATTTTGCATAAAATGTGCCTCAATTTACATATCAAAGCCACACTTTTTTTTTTTTTGCTAGCTTACAATTTCCCCCATTTCTTCCAGTCAGCTCTGCTACAAGGCATGGGTGTGCCTTGAATTCCATTGTGTTTTTTTAAAAAAATAGCTAACTCCCCATCCTCTTTTTTTTTTTTTTTAAAGAAATTCTGCAAAATCCACTGGGGGGGTGAGAAATCTAATTAGCGTGTTTATCTGCCATAAAACAGAGACCCTTATTTATGCAAAGCGACTGGCAACTGCCCAAGATGGGGCATACAAATTAATTTGATTTTAACAGGCATGAGACGCTGGTAAAATTAAAGGAAATGGATTTTCTCCTTCTTCTTCCCCTGAGCTCGGTGTTCATAGACTAGCCAAGAGCGGGAGAGAAAATTAGTTCTGAAAAGGAAGGGCCCATAACAGAATTGTCTATTATGCTAACGGATCTTCAATGCTTTTCTCATTAAAGGAGTCTGCAGTTAACTACCAGCTTCCCAGCCTGTTAGGGGCCTGCCGTATAAATAAGATCTTATTCTTTTTAAAAGCTCTTCTGATCAATTACTTCTTTGTGCAACAATTAAAAGTGCACAGAAGAGGTAGGAGTATGTGTGTCTATATTTGTGCATAACAATGATCATTAGAGCAGACTATTTATTTAACTTGGGAGAGAAAATTATGTACCTGAGCGGCACATAATCTGCACTCGAAATTGGATACAACTGGGATTTGCACCTTTTAAACACATCACAGTTCTGCCCCTGCCTCTCTCGGAGAGCCACAATTCCCAGGATTCCTTGTTTGGGAACCGTGACCATTAAAGCGTGTCTGAAACAGTCTGTGAATGTACTGTGTGGGCAGAACCAAAACCTCTTTCAGGTAGGGGTCATTTCCTGCGAGAGCGCACAGGAGCGGAGCTCTGGCAGTAAGGAGCCCAGGGGACGGGCATATGCAACAAGCCCCGCCCCCTGCTCCCAGCATGCACGCACACCCCCCACTAGCTAGCAATCCAAAACAGTCCAGTGGCACCTTTAAGACCAAGTTTTATTCAGGTATAAGCTCTCCCTTCTCTGTGAGGACAGATCTGCATGTCCCCCCCCCCAATAGCTAGCAATCCAAAACAGTCCAGTGGAGCCTGAGTGGTGGGTGTTGCCTTCTGACACACTTCCGGTGATGTCAGGGGGTGTGGCATATGCAAATAAGTTATGCTAATGAGATATGCTAATGAGCTCCTGCACCTCTTTTTCTACGAAATGACCCCTGGGTAACAGCATTTTTCCAGCCCCCTCTGTCCGGGAAAGCTCATGCAGAAGAGTGCCTAAGGAACGGAGCTGTGGATTTGGGAAGAAGAACACTTTAAAGCAGGGATCCCCAAAGTGGCGATGCCTATGATTGCCACGGTGACCGCAGAGCATTTTCAGAAAGCAGGTGGGGCCAGACAGGGTTTTTGCCCACAAGGGTTTCTGATTGGCTGTACGGTAGGTTTTTTTTTTTAAATGCTCTTTGGGAGCAGATGCTGTCACAGGACACAGATCTTCACTGAGTAACAGAAGGTAAGCTGTGCACGGGCAAGAAAATATTTTAAAACAGTATGTTTATTGTAAAAGAGGAGGAGGAGATTGGATTTATACCCCGCCCTTCACTATCCAAAGGAGTCTCAGAGCGGCTTACAAACTCCTTTCCCTTCCCCTCCCCACAACAGACACCCTGTGAGGTAAAAGAAGAAGAGGAGATTGGATTTATACCCCACCCTTCACTACCCAGAGGAGTCTCAGAGCGGCTTACAAACTCCTCTCCCTTCCCCTCCCCACAACAGACACCCTGTGAGGTAGGCAGGGCTGAGAGAGCTCTTGACAGAAACTGCTCTTTTTCAAGGACACTTCTTATCAGAACTACGGCTTGCCCATGGTCACACCAGCAGGTGCAAGTGGAGGAGGTGGGAATCAAACCCGGTTCTCCCAGATTAGAGCCTGCGCAATTAACCACTACACCAAAAGGCATCCTAGGGTTGCCAGGGTCCCATCTTCTCCTCAGGAGCGGGATTTGGGGGGCATTCCGGGAAGGGGCAGGGCCATCCCTGACTCAATAACATATTTCAGAGTGACGTCATCACACTGGGGATGCAGTGCCATGTGCGTGGCCCACCCACTTCCCACAAACAGTTAAAGGTAACCTCCCCTTTAAATGGGGGGGGGGAGAAGTGGGCGCCCCCACACCTGCCCTGAAAACCACGAATTCGAAGCTTGCAGGGCAGGAGCTGGCAGCCCCCCACTCAGAAAGAGTGGGCGCCAGCTGCAAATTTTCAGCTTGTGGGGCAGGTGCGCGTGGTGCCTGCTGGGACCATGGGCAGCTCTTGGGGGCAGGGCTTCCCCTGCCCCCACCTGGGGATTGGCACCCCTAAGGCATATCCTGTCTAACAGAGCTTCTTCCTAAAATGCCAAAGAGTTACTATTAAGAGTGATAGAACAAATTTAGAGTCCAGTGGCACCTTTAAGACCAACAAAGGTTTATTCAAGGCATGAGCTCTCGTGTGCAAGGCACACTTTATCAAATACATGGGAATGGCAGATGACTTTAACTACTTTAACCTTCCAGGACATTCAATGAATGACCTCAAAGTAGCGGTCTTATCACAAAGGAACTTCAGGAACAGAATGGAAAAGGAAATTGCTGAATTACAAGTTATTGGAACACTTGGAACAATAACCTCCCCAGGACTGAACAGGGATATTGGATTTTTATCCCATTAGATAAGCTAACTCATTCAGTCCTCCCATATGTATTGTCAACAAGGACCATAAATCCTCTATATTTTAGTATGTTTCTTTTTCAGAGTAGTATATTAGAATACTGAATGGATGTCTGCTGACAACATTGCATTCAGCTCAAAATATACGCCGGAAAGGAGTCAATTAAGATTCTGTTGCTTCCCACAATTAGAAAAAACACTTTTAGAGATTTAGCTGCTATTGTGACATATTTAAATGTATTGCTTTACAACTGTTGACCTTATAACCTTAACTTGTTATTTCGTTTTTCACTTTGCATAACTTAAACATCATCACCTTACATGTTAATTTGTGGTTCAGCCTGTCTTCTACGTTTGAATTCTTAGCTTCTCTTCCAATGTATTTGAAGAAGGGCGCCTTGCACACAAAAGCTCATACCTTGAATCAACCTTTGTTGGTCTTAAAGGTGCCACTGGACTCTAAATTTGTTATACGGCTTCAGACCAACAGGGCTGACCACCCGGATCTATTAAGAGTGATGGTGTCACCTCGCTCCCTGACATCCTGGGGTTGGCCCCGCCTCCAGCGATGCCCTGTGACAGCATCCATCACCCTGTGTCAGAATTCCAAAGGCGCCTGCAAGCTCGAAAAGGTCGGGTAACCCTGCCTTGAAGGCTTGAGAAATGATACTAAAATAATGTACTGCGATAGAATATTGAAAATACCAAAGGAATATATGCAAAACCCTTTGAACGCTCTTAAAAGAAGTGTTACATAAATGCCAAATATTTCTCACCGCCAGTCTATTTTGGGGGAGGGCTTTTTCCTAAATTATTTGGACACCGTGGCAAATATGGCAGAATAAACGATGTGAAAGCCAATGATGCAAATGTGCTTCAGTGGCATGTTTTATTCTGACCACAAAATATGGATTCTCTGGAGTCTAGACACGGGGCTCAGGCTATTTTGCACACGCATCCACGCACACTGCACATGGCATAACAATCGGGTCGCCAGCTCTGGGATGGGAAATACCTGGAGATTTGGGGGGTGGAGCCTGGGGAAGGAGGGATTTGGGGAGGGGAGGGGCCTCAGCAGGGTATAATACCACGAAGCTGCCACTTTCTCCAGGTGAACTCATTTTGGTCATCTGGAGATTAATCGTCATAATGGGAGACCTCCAGGTTTCACCTGGAGGCTGGCAACCATAGATAAAAGATACGTACCTGCATCGCCTGGATGCTCCCGGGCTGGGAGTACCCTTCACAGTCAGAGGACAGCAGAGCTTGACAGAGGTTGAACTTCTGCAACTCAAGCAAGGAGGCCCATTTCTCATTGGGGACTTCCTCCTTGGCCATCCAGTAGACAGTGGTGAGGGCAGCAACCTTGACGGGATGGACCTCCGCTTTGATGAGCGGGCCTGGCTCTTGGCGGCATTGCGCCTCTGCCTCCGAAGCCATCTGCACTCTGTTGACCGCCAAGGCCTGGCGGTGGGCCCCGGAGGTGACGTGGCGCAGGAGGGCGTGGCGCTGGAAGTTATCCGTGCCCACGGTGAAAGCATTCTCGGCCTTGCCGTGCTTGTTTCGCACGAGGGCCTGGCGGCACTCGGCGCAGAACATGGTTTTCTGCTTGTAGTCAAACTCCAGCCAGGCGAACTCTTCCTTCCAGCGCTCATTGAAATATCGCTTGCATTTCTTATTCGAATTGGAAGTTTCCCCGGCAGGCTTCTTCCCAGGCGGCACCATAGTTTGCACCCGGGCTGGGGGACTAAGCGCTACAGAGGACGAATGGATTTCCCCCTCCTTTCTGGAAGAGAATTTAATTTAGAACGGAGGATCTATTTACCACTTCCCTGGTTCCACTGGAGACGAAACAGACAAGGGGGAAAGGGGATTAGGGAAACTGGCAGATCTCACCCGGCCTTGCTAGTAAGAAATTAGATTCGGTGGTCAGACACACGGCTACGCCATGCGAACAAGAGGTAAGACATCCCAATAAAGATCCCAGGTGCACGGCCCTGGAAGTCTAGCAGCAAAATAAAGTTCAACGGGACCTAATAACTTATTTCCCCCCATTATAAGAGTTCAGGAATCAGAGTTCACTTCGTCGGAAACATGTGAATCCATCAGGCCCAATTTATTAGGGTTGCCAGCCTCCAAATGGTAGACAATGGAGACAACAGCCCTGATGTAGTATTATGAAAATATCTATTTAAATGGGTTTTGCAGTGAGCAGTATCTCTTCAACAGGTAATCAAGATGGACGTGCACACACAAACGGAATTTGCATATATTCCCATTTCACATGACCGCTTTATCTCAGTGTGCGGCATGAATGACATTAGTTTACACGTCAACAATACTAATCCGTGGACTTAACACTCAACATTCTTCCCATTTCAATGAAACAAATTCTTAACTGCTCACTGCAAAACAGCAGAGTAAATAGATATTTTCATAATACCACATCACGGCTGCTTTCTTCATTGTCTGCATCCTTCCCGTGATCTCTCTGTTGTTTCTACATTAGCCTCCAGGTGGTGGCTGGACATCTCCTGGAATTACAACCGAAATCAGTTCCCCTGGAGGAAATGGCCACTCTGGAGGGTGGGCTCTATGGCATTGTACCCTGCTGAGGCCCCTCCCCTCCCCAAGCCCCACCCTTCCCCAGGCTCCACCCCCCAAAATCTCCAGGTTTTCCCCAGCCCAAAGCTGGCAACCCCACCCCCCATACATACATACACAACAGAAAAGTGCGTGTGTATTTTGGGACGGGAGCAGGGGTCATTTCCTGCAGGAGCGCACAGGAGCGGAGCTCTGGCAGTAAGGAGCCCAGGGGGCAGGCACATGCAACAAGCCCCACCCCCTGCTCCCAGCAGCCCTCAGTTGGGCCACGAGGAGCAAGAAGCAGCCAGGTAAGTTGCAGAGCCCCCCCAGTCCAAAACAGTCCAGTGGCACCTTTAAGATCAAGTTTTATTCAGGTACAAGCTCTCCCTCCTCTGCGAGGACAGATCTGCACATTCCCACCCCCCCATAGCTAGCAATCCAAAACAGTCCAGTGGAGCCTGAGCGGTGGGTGTCGCCTTCTGACACACTTCCGGTGATGTCAGGGGGCGTGGCATATGCAAATAAGTTATGCTAATGAGGTATGTTAATGAGCTCCTGCACCTCTTTTTCTACAAAATGATCCCTGGATGGGAGTATTACATGGAGAAGCCAGTTCAAAACCATATCCGGTATACCTAACTTCCTGTTGTATCCACCTACTTCACCTTGCACTGAATTTTACCCTTCGCCTCTCTAACCGTAGTTGGGAGCCTCACACCCACGCTGCCTCCCTCCCTCCCCCACACAAACACCTTCCGGTTGGGTATGTGACAGATGTACTTTGCTGTGCATCGGACAAAGAGAACTCTGATTCGCAAAACTTTACACTGGAGCAAATGGTTAGTCCGTAAGGCATCGCTACTGTTTTTGCATAATTGCCCAGGGCTTTTTTTTTGCCTTCCAGGTTTGCTGGTGAGTGCTCTGGAACATGCAGGTCCAGATTCCTACCTCAGAGGGAGAGGGAGATTAGGAAAGGCCAAGACACTACAGCCTGGACCCAGCAAGATATCCTCCGGTGCAAACAGCAACAAAATGAGTGGAAGGTGTGAGAGCACAGTAGATGTGCGTGTGTGTGTCCCATACAGACACTCAAGTAAAGAAAAAGAAGAGCTGGTTTTACATCCCTTTAGGACTTGCAAAGCAGCTTCCTTTCCTCTCCCCACAACAGGCACCTTGTGAGCCAGTCTGCCGTAGTGGTCTGGAGCACAGACTCTAATCTGGGAGAACCGGGTTTAATTCCCCCCGCCTCCACATGCAGCTGCTGGAGTGACCTTGGGTCAGTCATAAGTTCTTTCAGAGCTGTCCTCACAAGAGCAGTCCTCAAAAGAGCTCTCTCAGCCCCACCTACCTCACTCATCAATCCAATTCCTGACGCACAAATTGGGAACTACTTCCGGTCCACTGAGAGCACGTTCCTAAAATTTATTTAAAATCCCGAAGCTGAGATCCCTTTTTCCAATTGTGTGCATAAAATTAGAAAAGCAGAGCTTCAAGTATGCTTTTAGGTGGCACCTTAACTTTTAGTAAGGCTAAACTCATGTCTGGCACCTTAGAGACCAACAAGAGCTCCAGGGCATAAGCTTTTGAGAGTCCAAGCTCCCGTCCTCAGATGCAAGTAGGAATGGAGACCCATGAGCAGGGGTCATTCCGTAGAAAAAGAGGTGCAGGAGCTCATTAGCATAACTCATTAGCATAACTCATTTGCATATGCCACACCCCCTGACATCACCAGAAGTGTGTCAGAAGGCAACACCCACTGCTTAGGCGCCACTGGACTGTTTTGGATTGCTAGCTACTGGGGGGGGGGACGTGCAGATCTGCCCTCACAGAGGAGGGAGAGCTTGTACCTGAATAAAACTTGGTCTTAAAGGTGCCACTGGACTGTTTTGGACCGGGGGGGCCGGGGGGGGTGTCTCTGCAACTTACCTGGCTGCTTCTTGCTCTGACTGAGGGCCGCTGGGAGCAGGGAGTGGGGCTTGTGCATGTGCCCGCCCCCTGGGCTCTTTACTGCTAGAGCTCCGCTCCTGTGCGCTCCCTGCAGGAAATGACCCCTGCCCATGAGCGATCCTGTCCCAGTCAGCAGGTGGGAGGGGGTGTTGCAAAGAAGGGAGTCGGGACCAATGTTCCCTCTAAGCTGTAGTCCTGTGAGCAAAAATTCTACTTTGTGAGCTACTGGCATTAAAGTTGTGAGCAGGTGATTTGGCTACTGCATAAATTAGTGCGTTCTGGAGCCCTCCTTCCTGAGCCAAGGCAAAAATCTGTGAACCGGAGGCTTAAAAACTGTGAGCTAGCTCACACTAACTCAGCTTAGAGGGAACACTGGTCGGGATGCCACAGGGTTCGTTGGGCCGAACCCCTTCGAACGAGTCTTCCCAGCTGCAATGAATCTCAGTGAAGGAAACTGAGCGTATGTTAGACTTGAACCCAGTGCCACCTGAGAGACCAACAAGAGCTCCAGGGTATAAGCGCTGGAGAGTCAAAGCTCTCTCCATCAGGCAGAAGAGTGCACAGGTGATATTCCCAACTTTTTTTTAGGGGGGAAAGAGACTGAAGAAGGTGGGAAGCGTTTTCAGCAGGCAACAGCAGCATCAGATGGCACATTAACTATGAAGCCACCGTCTGCCTGCAGAACTGTGTGAAATGTTCTGCAACGATTTTCACTTTTCCCCTTTCAGTTGTGAAAGAGTTGTGCCACCTCCACCCCCACCCCCCCAATCTGGGCCATTTCCCAACACAAACTGTAAAAGTGTAAGCAGAACCTCCCTTCCTCTGTTCCCAATAAAAAACTTAACAAATAACACCTTTAAAAAGAGTTACAAAATGAGGATTTCCCTGACTAAGGTGTCGGCGATCTGCAAATCTCTTGTTTTTTTCTAATGTTTGCCTCTTCTTATACAAGAAGTTATTTGGTGGGAAAGCGGGTGTGCACACGAAAGTTTATGCATGGAATTAAACTTTGTTGCTCTTAAAAGGTGCCACTGGACTCGAGCGTTGTTCTGTTGCTTCTGACCAACAGGGCTACCCCACCTCAATCTGAGCATTTCTGCTGCTCGGCTAGCAGAAGAAATGAATTGCTAACGGGGCCCAGAGTAAAAGCCCAGAAGCAACAAGGTAAGTTTACACCACAATGATCTTGCACCTCGACAACAGACAGTAGTTTGATTAAGCAGGAAGAAAAATTCCCCTTTCTCAGAGTCAGGAATAACAAGATGCTGATACAACTTCGTCTTAAACCGAACTTGCCCGCATAGGTTGCTCTAGCCAAAAAAGCATTGTTGTTGTTGTCTTTCTCTCCAAACCACCTTCCTCTTCCCAAGTCTGCTTTTTAAAAAAGACACCGGGTGAGGGGGAGAGCGCGCAACAACCTGCAAGCCTGCGCCCTTCCCAACCTTGACCATCTCGCTCCTTCTCAAAAGGAACCGCAAGCCCCGACCCCCCCCCCCAAGAAAACTCATTTCCTTTCTTATGAATACGTACCACGTTTGCAAAGCTGCCATTGGGAACCTTCACATTAAAAAAACAAAGAAATGACAGAAGCAAACCACACAATTACGCACACGCACGCACACTCATTCTCTCCCCATCCTCCCTCCGAAGCGCATTTCCAGCGTATCAGGATTGGGGACATCAGCCATCGCGTCATCTTCCTGCCCCCCGTGCCTTTCCTCGGCTGAAAACGTGTCAGAAGAATTCAAGAGAGAGGGGCACAGATCTTTGCAGACAAAGCCCCTGCCCAGAGCACAACGCTCTCCTCCTCCTCTTCACACTCACACACACACCGCAGACTTCGGAAGCAGCCATTTTTGCCCTCTTCTCCGCTCTCTCTTGTCGGTGAGCGCTGGAGGACGCAGTGGCCACTAGTGGAGGGAGAGCCGCCGGTTTCAGAGAAGGGCGGGGAAAGGGTGTAAAGGAGGCCAGTGTGGAAGACGCTCCGGGATGTGCTTGCAGAGGGCCCAGAAGAACTTTCGGAGGGGTTTCACTTCCCAGAATGGAAAAGAAGCCCGACTCTACCTTTTTGGAACTCAATATCCATTTCTGAGCACCCAAAAACCAAAAACCACATAATAATCTTCTTTTCGACTAATGAAAACCTCACCGGTCACAGTTTGCAAGCTTTCGGGTTCTCCAGAACTCTTCAT